GATCATTGCCCACGCTTCCTCGAAATTGCTGGAGGGGGGGAGGAGGGGGGAGTGCTCATGTTAAGCACGGGGAGGTAACTGGGAGGACATAGCGGCCGGTGTGGGCATAAAGGGATCACGACGGCCGGTGGTATTGACAAGTCTGAAACGATTGCGCATCGCGAGTGCTGATGGACAGGGACAAGCTGTGACCTGGCATACAATATCCCCCCCCCTGCCGCTGCCCAAGTAGGCAGAGAGCATGAACACTTCCGGGTGAAATTGACCAAGGGAGACAGCCAAGAGTGCTTGGGGGTCGACATCGAGAAGCTGTCGAACTACGTAAGGAAGGTTGGATGGAGGGTTTGCGTCGCGAACATGATAGGAACAGAGAAGGTAAGGCGACAGGAGGCGAGGGCGATAGAGGCGAAGAAGAGACCGGGGGGGGGAGACGAGCAGGCAAATCAGAAGAACGCCGAGAAGAAGCGGAAGGCGAAGGATAGAGTGCGCAAAATCTCCAATAGGGAAAAGCACAAGCTGAGAGTGGGGTCGTGGAACGTGTGCGGGTTCGCAAGGAGTGAGCGCAAGCGGTTGGAAATAGTGGACCAAGTAGAACAAAGCGATCTGGATGTAGTGGGGATCCAAGAGACGTGGGAACTGAAGGATGGGGACGTGGTAAGCAAAATAGGGAAGTACCGGTGGGTAGGGAAGGCAAGAAAGGGCTTAGACCCGAAGAAAAGGGGGGAGGGGGGAGTCGGATTCCTGGTCAAGGAACACTTGTATGACGTGGTGGAAGTAGTGGTGAAAACGGAGTTCGAGGAAAGCCTATGGCTTAAGATACCTGGGGAGCGGGGTGAGAAAGATTTGTTTCTAGGGAACGTATACGTCCCACCGTCGTCGAAGAAAGTCGCAAGCAAGGCGCAGGAGAACTTCGGACAAATTGGGGAAGATGTCCAGAGGTTCAGTAGGAAGGGAGAAGTTGTCATGGTGGGCGATTTCAACTCCAGAGTAGGGAAAGCTTGCAGTAGAGGACAGGCGATCGGGCAGCACGGAGAAGACAAAGTGAATGACAACGGAGTGAGGATGCTTGAATTCTTGGGAAGCAACGAGCTGATGGTGTTGAACGGTAGGAAGGAAAGCGATAAGCCAGAGTTCACCAGGCAGAGGGCAGTTTGCAATGAATACTCGATCCTCGACTACATCCTGGTAGATAGGGGGAGCACACAGGTCCCGGAGCTGCACGTAAGTGCGATAGATATAGGTTCGACCGACCATTTCCTCATATGGGCAAACATCGACCGATCTAGAAAGACGGAGAGTAAGAAAAAGAGGAAAGTGTTCCGGTGGAAAGTAGAGCGTTTGGGAGACGAGGGGACACGCGATGAATTCCAGAAGGGATTGGCTGGTAGTGTAGAACCCTTCAGGAAACTGCTGAGAAGCGTCGAAGACGGAAAGGTAGACGTACAAGCAGCAGGGGACAGGGTGATTGAAGGATGGGAGTCCATAGTGAACACAACGGCAGAGAGAGTAGTGGGAAAGAAGGTGGTACGATGTGGGGTATCGGTTAAGTGGTGGGATGACGAGCTGAAAGAAGAAATAGGGGAACGTAGAGAAGTCTTCAAGCAGTACCTGGGTGAGGGGTCTGAAGAGAGTTGGGAAAAGTACAGGGCCAAGAGGAAACAGGTGAAGGGACTAGTGAAAAAGAAGAAAAAGAGCATTG